TATATATATATATATATATATACACACACACACATACATATACATACACACACACAAAACATTTATGTTTATATCCTGTAAATCTTCAATAAATGTATTCAGTGACTTCCAAACAACAGTGGCTACTTTCAGTTTGTGTGTAATACAGGCAAGGATAGTAATGATTTTTTTCAAGATTTTTTTTTTTTCTTCACGTTACCCATCAGATGGGTACCATTGCCATGATTTGAGGGAAGAAGGGTGCTGAATTGTTCAAAAAGAAGACTGTCAACTATCAAAGTAATGCAGGGATATTTAGGGCCCATGCATTCTATGCTGCACTAAGCCGCAATATGTTCTTGTGCAATATGGTGCATTGTAGCGCAGAGTGTTTATGTTGTGTTTACATTCAGTGGCGTTACAACGCACATAATGTGCATTACCGAAGCATGCATGTGTGAATGGGCCCTTATGTATGGCTGTAATAATATAGCGGCTAACAAGAAAATTGGTCAAAAATGCCATTTCCCCCCCCCTCTTTTGTTTGAATGGTAAAATTATACTTACTAATGTATTCCCAGAATTAGTTTTGATAACAAAAACTTTAAAATAATCATGCAACAAACATATATCTTTAAAAATATGTTATCTCCCTAGATGAAATCTCGTTATTCTGGACAGTGTTCGTTCAGTGTTTATTATGATAACACTTTTTGCTCAACAGATGTTAATGTTTAACCATTTGCCGTCCGCCCGTTGTAAAAAAACTGACGGACGGCACTGCAGCAATGGCAGGTTGCCCGACCCCTCACCTTGAATCCCGGGATCCGCTGCCCCATCTGCGGCCCGGGACCGGCTCGGAGGGCGTCAGGAGGAAGAGGAAGGGAGATCAGCTCCTTGCTGACCTCCCTCCGGGCTGTGAATGCAGAAGTCATGTGTGTTACATCACTTCCGCATTCACCTGTCAGTCATCTGGCTGCTATAGCCAGAGAAAAGAAGCTGATGAAGCAGATCTCTGCTTCAACAGCTTCTTTTGGGGTCCACAGGTGACATTAGGGGTCCTAGAGACCCCTAATGTCTCCATAAAGAGGACCTGTCAGTGTGCCTTTGCTATTATATAGGGGGATTGTTACCCCCCTATATAATAGCAATAACAATAAGTGCAAAAAAAGTGTATATATATACATACATACATACATACATACATACATACATACATATATAAAAATGAAAAAAATAAGTCACAAAAAAAGTGAAAAAAACCCCCCCAAAATGTTTAACTCCCCACATTTACCTATAAACGTAAATACGCGTCCGGTGCCCCAGCGCACAAAAGATGGGAAGGGGGTTTTACACACCGCGGATGTCAACTGGTTATTTAGTGCAGCCAAGTAAAGCTACAATCAGAAAACAACAAAAAAAAATAGCAAGCAATCTGCAAAAAAAAAAAAAAAATCAGTTCACAGATTGAGCTCAATAGTGTTTAGCAGATAAATAGTTGAATACCACAAGTGAATAACTGTGGAAGCATATACATAGTCTTCTAGCACTGAGACAGATTCTAAACATGACTAACTTGCTTATCAAATCATCTTTGCTGTAAGATTAACAAGTTACAAACCCCATTTAGCAGATAAATATGATTTGTATATAAAGTAAAACTTAAAATACTACCTAAATGTTTGCGTAATTACAAAAGAGCCAACCTAAGTTATAAAATATTATGTGCTATAAACTTGAACAGACAGGTTCATTCCCGAAAGGATATGACTTGCAAATATATGGCTTCAGCTAAATTATATTTACATCTCATTAAAATGTCTGAACAGTACAAGCAGGATACTTGGCCTTCAAATGAATTTATGCCACATAACAAAAACTAAACTATGTTTTGATCACCATCTCTGCTTGTATATCAGTGAAGTCAAAAGCATTTTAAAGCCACCTTGTGATGTTAACATAAATAATGTTTTACTTAGTCTGGGGAAAAAGAAAAAGAAAAAAAAGTAGAAATCGTCTTTCATTTGAGTGTTCAATAAATCACATGGAAGTCTTGAAAACCAGTGGTTGCCAGGTTTGCAAGACATAAAGTGGTTTTGTCTTACAAACTTGCAGCCCTAGAAGAATTTCCTATACTCACCAGAGTGGTATGGGCAAAAACCAAACAAAGCCACATGGCACGTCGAGGCACGTTTGTGCGCTTTTGGTATGCGTCAGCCCAAGCGTGTTGCATATTTCTAACGCGTTGCATGAACGCACGCCAATTCACGAGCTTTGGCACACGTTCACACAATGCCAGAGTGTGAAGGGAGCCCTACAATCAAACCAGAACATTACATTATCACTCAATTTAGTTTGTTGACTCCTTGCTTTAAGTTCCAGCTGTCACAGTGGTTGCATGATCAGCAGCCCATCTTACCAGCTCCAGTTAAAAACAATGACCGGGAGCGGTTGGTGACAGCTCGGTAACAAAGCTGGGGGGGGGGGCGTGATGGAGCAGGGTCTCAGCACAAAACTGTGAGCCTGGTCATATACATAAATGTGGTGACAAGGCATAAAGCCCACTGCCAAGCCGAAACATATGTGTACAGCTGCCAGCAATAGGTTCAACTGTATGTAAAGGAAAAGCAAGCATATTTACGGCTATGCATACACTTTAAGTCACTTAATAGATTTGATTTCTTTATTTTACACAAGAGTACAGTTTAAAGTCTACACACATTTGTTCTGAATTAACAATACCGTTTTTTTTCATTGATAAACAATCGGGCTTCTATCATGGGAAGTAAAAAAAAAAAAAAAAATATCAGTTAAACCCACTTAACTCTACAGGCTCTGTGTTTCCATAGAATATATGGTTTGGAACGGGGAATGAGGTTTTAAATTTCAAAGCTGCCAGAAAAAAAATAGCAAATAAATTTAAAAAAGAAAAACAAAAACCAAAAAAATGGTACCACCACTTGAGGCATACAATTAGGAAGTAGAGACGGACTGACACTCCCTACATATATTTTGTAAGAAATAGCCAAGTACTTTTATTCAGGTGCATCTATGTGGTCATGTGACGGCTCAATCCCCTTTCTCTGTGGCAGGTGCGAGTAATCACCTATAGCTCTATGGACGCCAGTGTGATGATATCGCTGCAATTCAACAGTGTTGTTGGCCCTCCACAGGAACCAAAGGATACACAGCAGCACTGGCAAGATCAACAGATAATGTAATAATAGATTGGATATCTAAAGCATGTAGCGGATTTAGGAATCCTTAATAGAACCCTCCATTTTAAAGACAGACACAGCCTAATAAAACTTCTAGTAGACAAAACTAACAAAATATATGTTTGCTTGCACCCATTACTTACAGGAAGTCCTGATATATCGGAATACTTCTTTGAAGGTTTGCATGACGGTGGCGCATCAATATGAAAATCTGATTAAAAAACAAAACATAAAATGGTATCTGTAAGACTATATAAATGTATCTAATCTTTATCATAATTGCCTCTGCATTAGATTATCACTGGTTTTAGTAATAACTTAATACCTAGATCTGAAAGTAGAAGTCTAGGAAATTGCCTGGTGGGCCGGATTCGGCCCCTGGGCCTTGCTTTTGACACATGTGATCTAAATAATGTTAGACTGTATATTAGAACCACACAGGAGACGTGCTCTTTTACATATACACCACAAATTCTAAATTCCTCCCACCCTCTGCAGCAACTAACAAATCATTTGTAGTCTGTACATAGCCAGCGTAGTGATCCTCTTCTTCAACGTTCCCAGCTTGGACCAACAATCTGTAAACAAACATGTCAGGAGAATAATTGTCATCTCCATCTCTATCTTTTAATACTCTGGGCAAAGCCTTTGTCTTTCAAGGCATTCCAAATGCTAGATTACAAAGCAAGCTGTAGTGCTTGAAAAGATCCCTGCAAATGTCTTGGACAAGACCACACTTTTAATTCACAGGTATAAAATTTGCTGCCATGTGGAAAGGAAGAAGTTAAGGGTGCTTTCCTCAATTCTTGAAAAGTTTAGCGAGGCAGTCTAATCGCCTTTACTGTAGCATAAAATTGATTTACACACTACTCAAGACCAGTGGTTTGCATAATGGGCACATGCCTCCCCACCTATACCCGGTTTCCCTGATAATAAGACCTAGTACTATTTTTGGGAATTACTAAAATATAAGACCTACCCCGAAAATAAGACCTAGTTGTGACCATTTCCAGGGCTGGTGGTGGCATAAGGGGGAACCTGAAGAGCCACGCGAGAGAATCAGCGGTGCCAATGAAGCCAGCACTAGAGGAAGCGAGGCGGCAGCACAGGGAGCAGAGCCGCATATGCTGATGTTTCCTCTATAGCGCCGACTCCTGTCACAGGCAGAGTGATACCAAATGCACTCCGCCTGTGAGGAATTGATAGTGAAAGTGTGCTTCACTTTTTCTTATTACCAAATTGCTCTTGGAAAGGTATGGCACCCCTGATCACCCTATTCTTAACTTTGCCATTTTGGATTATTTAATTTGGATTTGCATTAAATTTGGATTGTTTACATTAAAAAAAATAAGACTTACCCCGAAAATAAGACCTAATGTGTTTTTTTGATCCAAAAAAAAAATATAAGACAGTGTCTTATTCGGGGAGACACAGTAGTTCTACTGCATACACCTGATCACATAGTAATGGCCTAAGGGATCCATCTTGGCACATATGTCATCATCCTCCATACTAGGGCTGCAACGAATGATTATATTCATAAAATCGATTATTTTTTTATTTAAATCGAATGGAAAAAAAATACCATCCTTAATTGAAAATGAAATACACAAATGCAGTGTTTCAAAGTTTACTTTAGAATAAAACCGCATGCACATTTTTATGCAATTGCACTGGAACACATGGCATTGCTGTGAATATTTTGTAAATATTTACACTAAAAGGATTACAACAATAATACTAATTTTATTATTCCCTTCAAAGCTAATATGGTTACATCACTAAGCAGTGAGGCTTGGACCATGGATCATTTTTGGTGTGCCTGGAGCAGCAGACTACAAGCTGAACCAATGCATAAAATAAATACAAGATAGCAATTTCTGCTCTATGTTAAGCTGATCTTTCTTATACTGTAAAGACAATCAAATGCCTAACAGAGGAAAGTGATGTAAGTCAGCATAGCTCCAGTGAAAGTTATTTGTTGGATTTTAATTATTTAGAAATACATGCAAAGCAGCTTACAGCTCGGATCATTTAGTTGCCATGGCAATGCCCTTTCTAACGCAAGAATCTGTTTCAGGTTCTTCCAGGTCCTGTTCTTCTTGCCAGCTGCAGCTCCTCCAATTCCTGAATGCTGCCGAAGAAAAACATGTTTAAAA